TACCTGTGTGAGTCTGTAATTAGATCGGGTTACTTCAGGTCAGGCTCGGTGACTTAACAGGTTAAGACTCTATTGCCTCCACCTGGTTCTGGAGGACAATGGAAGTTTCCAGAAGCCAGTGGGTAGAAGGGGTTGAGACCTAAATCCAAACATTTATGTGAGTCTAACCAATCCCAGGTTTGGAGGCTCTGATAGAGTGGAGGCCAACCCATATATATGGGAGAGTCAGGCTGGCAGGGGAGTTGGGTGGAAGATGGCTGCTGAGGAGGCTGTCAGTGGCCTGGGAGTGGTCCCCTAAGTCTAGGTGGGGCTTGGCCTCCATGCTGGATTCAAGCTGGCTCAGGAGGACTCATTCAGCATCACGGTATGAACAGGAAGCAGGCCTGGAAGCAGTTGGAGCAAAGAGGACAGAGTGAGTGCTTCAGCACAACCAGGGATTTACAAGGGGAGAGACTGCCACATGTAGGAAGCTTTCAAAGGACAGTGTTGTGCTTTACCCTTTATCCTTGTCCTGGGAGAGCTTCAGAGCAGCTAAGAGGGCTGGTAGTGTCTGCAGGCTGTAGAGCTGGGGTAGTTCTACAGGGGAGAGGAGACATCTCTGCATGTAGTTCACAACAAGCTAACTTTCAGAGGGGCTGAGAGTCCCTAGTCCGTAAGGGGCTTTTGCTACTGATCTGCAAAAACGAACTTCATTCCAGAAGAACAGTCCAGGATCTGTTTGTGTAAATAGGAATGTTCTGACTCGGACTACGAGGCCATAGACTTTATCTCCAGTGATGTATACAGCTATACCACGTGATGTTGAATTTATCCCTTGCATCAGGTCAGACAGTTTAACTCAATGAATAAACTCACATGTTGAGGAAGTCAGATGAGAAAACCCATTTGAATGTTCCGTTTAATGGAGAATAATCATAGGTAGAAAAATGTTCATGTAACCTCATGGAAAGATGCATTCGGAAGACAGGATACAGTGGAATGACTAGAGAGAGGCAGGGGGGAGGGATATACACAAGTACAGTGAGAGAAAGAGCTCAGCTTAGACAGGAGACAGCTTAAAGACACAGAGCAATAATAAACAAGTGATGGTCACAGAGAAATAATAATAAATCAAATAGTGTAACACAACAAGGAAGGAAGTTGTCCCGATGCATTGATTCAGTCAGGTTGGGCATCCCATAATTTCCCTATGAAAGTTATTTCCCCTAATTTAATAACAAAAACCGAGTTCATGAACTGTTCACTGACTGTGTATGCAAGTGTAAAAAAATGCGTGTTTGCCTGGCTGTACGGAGCTTAGAGAGACCCAGAAACACAGCGGCCCTCAAGAGGGTAGGCTACATATGTACTCCCCAGCCATCTACTGGGCACCCTCCCCCAGGGATTGGCTGAGACAACATAAATATTCAGATTTGCTTTTCCAGCTCACTATATTCTAAAATCCTCCAACAGGCAGGGAAGAAACAATATAACCTGCAACAGTGGAACCCAGAACAGCCCAAAGCAGAGCCAAACAGAACTAAATTTACCTAACATCCAAATAAATAGGCCGGCGTGGTCGAGCAAACGTGGGCCGCATGGCCTGCCATAGTGTCAGCCTAGGCCAACAACTGTGTATACTTTGTTCTGCCTCTCCTTGAGACTATTGAACTAGAGGGAATTTGTTCTTCTTTCCAGCCATGAGTCAGAGGGGCGTGGAGGTAAAAACGATCCTGTTGGTGGATTTTTCCAGCATGTACACAGACACCAAAAAAGATCTGCAAGAGGTTCTAAACCAGGAGTGGCAACCGGGGTGCTGCAGCTGTTGTGGAACTACAAGTCCCATGAGGCACTGCAAGACTCTGACAGTCACAGGCATGACTCCCAGCAGCAGAGGGATGATGGGATTTGTATTTCACCACTGCTGGAGTGCTGAGGCTACTTTCATCTGTTCTAACTCCTTACTCTATCCAAAACAAACAAAAAACTATTTTTTTTAACATACATTACACTTTAAAGTAGATATGTAAATGGTGATCGCTCCACGCATGTGAGGTATCACTGCCAACGTCTAAGCGACAGCAATCATTCCAGTGCCAGAGCTCACGTTTATCTCTAAACTGATACCTTGAGCCTTTTAAAGTCACCTGTGGAGAATTTTAGGTATCATCTTTTGGCACCATTTTACAAGCGTGTGAAATTTGACATCTTGACATGTTTGGTATCTATTTACTGGCTGCAACATCATCTTTTATATTTTACCAATGACTTGGGTATTCTATTGTGCTCATTGAAAGTGATTCTAAAGATATGATGTTAAACTCACCTGCTCTGTGTAATGGTTTTGCACAGAGCAGCCCCAGCCTCTTGCTCCATAAGGCACATAGAGCCGCAGCTCGGCCCTTCCCCATTCGCTCTCTCCTCATTGGCTCACTGGCTGTGATTGACAGCAGTGAGAGCCAATGACTCTCACTGCTGTGGCTCAACCAATGAGGAGAGAGAGACCCGGGACAGCTGAGGCTCCCGTGCACATCGCTGGATCGAGTGGGGGGCTCAAGTGAGTATTAGGGGGGGGGGGGGTGTGAGGGGAGCAGCACACAGAAGTGCACAGGTTTGAAAACCTACCACTTTTATGTGTATTTATTTCCTGTAAATTAGTGAATATTGTGCGACATGAAAAAATTGCAGCAACCATCGTTTTATTTCCCAGGGCCTCTGCTTTTCAGAAAAATATATACTGTTTGGGGGTTTCATTTTCTAGCAAAAAAAAAAATTCTGATTTTAACGTGTGTGTGAAAAATGTCAACATTGCCCCAGGCAGCAAGTGGTTAAGTTGTGGGCAGCACAGTGGCTAAATGGTTGGCACTTCCTCCTGGCAATTCTTGGGTCGCTGGTTTGAATCCCAACCACGGCACCACCTGCCTGGAGTTTGCATGTTCTCCCTGTGCCTGCGTGGGTTTCCTCCGGGTACTCTGGTTTCCTCCCACCCTCCAAAGACATGCTGGTAGGTTAATTGGCTCCTGTCTAAATTGACCATAGTATGTGTATGTATGAAAAAGAGTTAGGGACCTTAGATTGTACGCCCCTTGAGGTTTAGGGACCTTAGATTGTACTCCCTTGAGGGTTAGGGACCTTAGATTGTACGCCCCTTGAGGGGGACCTTAGATTGTACTCCCCTTGAGATTAGGGACCTTAGATTGTACGCCCCTTGAGGGTTAGGACCTTAGATTGTACTCCCCTTGAGGGTTCGGGACCTTAGATTGTACGCCCCTGAGGGGTAGGGATCTTAGATTGTACGCCCCTTGAGGGTTAGGGACCTTAGATTGTACGCCCCTTGAGGGTTAGGGACCTTAGATTGTACGCCCCTTGAGGGTTAGGGACCTTAGATTGTACGCCCCTTGAGGGTTAGGGACCTTAGATTGTACGCCCCTTGAGGGTTATGGACCTTAGATTGTACGCCCCTTGAGGGTTAGGGACCTTAGATTGTACACCCCTTGAGGGTTAGGGACCTTAGATTGTACGCCCCTTGAGGGTTAGGGACCTTAGATCGTACGCCCCTTGAGGGTTAGGGACCTTAGATCGTACGCCCCTTGAGGGTTAGGGACCTTAGATTGTACGCCCCTTGAGGGTTTAGGGACCTTAGATTGTACGCCCCTTGAGGGTTAGGGACCTTAGATTGTACGCCCCTTGAGGGTTAGGGACCTTAGATTGTACGCCCCTTGAGGGTTAGGGACCTTAGATTGTACGCCCCTTGAGGGTTAGGGACCTTAGATTGTACGCCCCTTGAGGGTTAGGGACCTTAGATTGTACGCCCCTTGAGGGTTAGGGACTGATGTGAATGTACAATATATATATGTAAAGTGCTGCGTAAATTGACAGCGCTATATCAGTACCTGTAATAAATAAATAATAATAACCAACCAATCTACAGGTGCTGGACATTGAATGCCTGCCGGTATTCGCTGATTATCAGGGAGAGACATAGAACTGAGCTCTGTCTATGTAAACAAGGCAGCGCTCCATTCTGAGAGGGGGAAGTGATGGATCATGTGTGAAACAGGGAATATGATCCATCACTTCCCTTAGATAAATTCCAGGCAAAAGGCTAATTCCCAGATATCATACTTACATGGGAGCTGTTTTACCTGACAAAGGATTTGTATTTCTGTTTTGGATCCCTGACATGCAATGGGGTTTGATTTACTAAAAACTGGAGAGTGCAAAATCTGCATGAGAGCCAATCAGCTTGTTCAGTTAAACGTTGACAATAAAACCTGGCAGCTGATTGGTTTCTATGCACATCCGCACCAGATTTTGCACTCTCCAGTTGTAGGGAATCGGCCCCAGTCTCCAATTGTTACAAAATATATTTTTTTGGTTCTGTTTCTCTTTTTAGGTGTACTGTTCCTTTAATAGCGCATGTCATTTAGTCCCTGAATGGGTTCCTTTAACAGCCAGTGATGACGAATGTGGGGACTGGGAAAGGTGCAGCAGTCGCCCAGCACATGGCTGAACCAGTCAAACTGGCTCCGTCAGCGGAGGGGCGGCTCCTGTGCGAGGTAATTCATCTCTTCTGCTTCTCTCATTTCCTCTCCGGCTCTGCTTAGGTTTCCGTCCTCTGACTCTCTATCTACTCTAATGGGACGCGTATATTGAGGGCACAGGGTACGACTGACGCGTATATTGAGGGCGCCGGGTACGACTAGCTCCATCTCCGAAAACTTCACCTTGGAAAACTGGGCCCATGTCCCCTTTGTCACCTGAGAGGGTAGGAGAGCCGACGGGGGCTGGAAAACTCTGCCACATCAGCTGCCACCATCTCCGGTGAAAGGAGGTCAGAGGAAAAAAAAAAGAAAGAAAAGAACCAGCAAGACTCCGCAGCGTCCGTTCTCTCCGCAAAAATGGCGGCTGTCTTGCTCCTTTCTCCGTTCAGTTTTGGGGGATCTGGTTGACGTTTGTGGGGGACTTTTTTTGGGGGGGTTCTTTTTTTTTTCTTTCTTTAAATTCCCCCACACGGGATGATGTTGCAGTCGTTAGCCGGCAGCCGCTGCGTGCGGGTGATTGATGGGAACCGTTCGGCGTGGTATTTTGCCTTCCTCATGGCCAGCTACATCCTCTACCTGGTGTTCGGCGCGTTGATCTTCTCCTCGGTGGAGCTGCCCTATGAAGACTTGAAGAGGAAGGAATTGGAGGAGGTGAAGCGGAGTTTCCTCAGCGAGAACCAATGCCTGTCCGAGGAGCAGCTGGAGGTCTTCCTGGAGCGGGTGCTGGAGGCCAGCAACTACGGGGTGTCCATCCTCAACAACGCCTCAGGGAACTGGAACTGGGACTTCATGTCGTCGCTGTTCTTCGCCAGCACCGTGCTGTCCACCACAGGTAATGCCCAACTCACCACCTATGTGACAGGTTCTCTTTAACCACTTTAGGACCGCCCCATAGCAGCTATACTGCAACGGGGCAGTCCTCCTGTGCAAAATCACGTATATAAATGTGATTCTGCACTCCCGCCTAGGGGGTGCGCATGCCTGCCGGTACCCACCAATCGTCGGGGAGAGACACAGAACTGAGGCAGAGCTCCATTCTGACAGGGGGGAAGTGATGGATCATGTGTGAAACAGGGAACAGGATCCATCGCTTCCCTTAGATAAATTCCAGGCAAACTGCTGATTCCCAGATAACATACTTATATGGGAGCTGTTTTACCTGCCAAAGGATTTGTATTTCTGTCCATCCAAACCTGGGATTCACACAGCTCTACCACACAGCACAGCCCTGCCTGCCAGGGTACTGACCTGTCTTTTCTATGCTGCAGTTAAGTACCGCTTACAGATCTTATCCCTTCCCCCAGCTTATGATTGGACAGTGAAGCAGCAGACCAATGAGCTCATCTCTCTATCACTCTGCTCTCTCCTCCCATCAGCATGTCTCTTTTTAGCATTGCAGCACACCTGATTGGCTCCTTGTGCTGCTTTTGTCTCTAGCACAGTTCTGCGTGGCAGGGGAGGTGACCTGATTTTCCTCTGCTGCAGTTAGGTAACATTTACAGGTCTTGTCCCCTCCCCCAGCTTGTGATTGGCCAGTGAGGGAAGAAGCAGCAGACTGATGAGCTCATCTCTCTGTCACTCTCCTCTCTCCTCCTGTCAGCATATCCCTTGTTAGCATTTCAGCATGCTTGATTGGCTCCTTGTGCTGCTTTTCTCTAGCACAGCCCTGCCTGGAAGGTGAGGAGACCTGATTTTTCCTATGTCACAGTTAGCTAACACTTACAGGTCTTGTCCCCTCCCCCAGCTTCTGATTGGTCAGTGAAGGGAGAAGCAGCAGACTGATGAACTCATCTCTCTGTCCCTCTGCTCTCTCCTCCTATCAGCATGTCCCTTCTTAGCATTGCAGCACACCTGATTGGCTCCTTGTGCTCCTTCTCTCCCTCCCAGTCTGAGCTCTGCTGTACAGGGGACTGTGAGAAGCTGATACCAGGTCACATTCAGGTACTTGCACTGCTTGTATTTAAAAGATACATTTAAAGCACAACTGAAGGCAATTTTTTCATAGAATGGAGAGGATTGGAATCCCTCCGGGGTTTTTATTGCTGTGTGTGTCCTAGTTAGGGAGATTCACCCTATTTGTCCTGGTGAGAGTGAAAGAAAATCCCAATTTCTAGGTTGTCCCCAGAACAGGAATAGAGGGGAAATCTTCACATGGGGACACTTTATAACATCGTTCTGGTGACAACCAGGCATTTCCCTTACTTTGGGGGGATTTCGTCTCACTTCCTGTTTTTATTATGGGACAGAAAGTGAAGGTAAATCTCCCCGATGGGACACGGGTTGCAAAAATTCTGCGGCCTCCTCCACCTGCGGTGTCGGTATCTGCTGGGATGTGCCGGGATGTGTCGGTATCTGTCGGTATCTGCCGTCGGATGTGTAGGCACTTCCACACCCTGGAATATGGACTGCAGGATTTTATTGCTGGTGATAAGTAAATGCTCTCCATAGACTTTAACCCCGAAAGGCCAGTGCAGCGCTGGAGAGGATGTGTCCTGGCAGTCCATAGCACATGGCTCCTCCATGTTACTATATTGGGATATTCTGCGCACTGATACCTCTGCATTGTCCTTCAGAAGCCCCACTAGAAGGGTCACTCCACCCAAAACTGATACGTCACACTGTAGAATGAAACCGTGTCGGAGCTTCTCTGTGGTCATATCGCTACACCCGATGTGCCCATTATGAGGGGCTCCCACCATCCCTGTGCTCAGTTCCCAGGTCTGTACACCCGCTTTGCCGATTATGAGGGGTTCCCACCATCCCTGTGCTCAGTTCCCAGGTCTGTACACCCGCTTTGCCGATTATGAGGGGTTCCCACCATCCCTGTGCTCAGTTCCCAGGTCTGTACACCCGCTTTGCCGATTATGAGGGGTTCCCACCATCCCTGTGCTGAGTTACTGGGTCTGTATACTGGATTAGATCATTATGAGGGGTCCCACCATTCCTGTGCTGAGTTCCCGGGTCTGTACACCCGCTGTGCCCATTATAAGGGGTTCCCACCATCCCTGTGTTGAGTTCCCAGGTCTGTACACCCGCTGTGCCCACTATGAGGGATTCCCACCATCCCTGTGCTAAGTTCTTGGGTCTGTACGCCCCCTGTGCCCATTATGAGGGGTTCCCACCATCCCTGTGCTGAGTTCCCGGGTCTGTACACTGGATTTGATCATTATGAGGGGTTCCCACCATTCCTGTGCTGAGTTCCCGGGTCTGTACACCCGCTGTGCCCATTATGAGGGGTTCCCACCATCCCTGTGCTGAGTTCCCGGGTCTGTACACTGGATTTGATCATTATGAGGGGTTCCCACCATTCCTGTGCTGAGTTCCCAGGTCTGTACGCCCTCTGTGCCCATTATGAGGGGCTCCCACCATCCCTGTGTTGAGTTCCTGGGTCTGTACACCCGCTGTGCCCATTATGAGGGGCTCTCACCATCCCTGTGCTGAGTTTTCGGGTCTGTACGCCCGCTGTGCCCATTATGAGGGGTTATCACCATCCCTGTGCCGAGTTCTCGGGTCTGTATGCCCGCTGTGCCCATTATGAGGGGTTCACACCATCCCTGTGCTGAGTTCCCGGGTCTGTACACCCGCTGTGCCCATTATGAGGGGTTCACACCATCCCTGTGCTGAGTTCTCAGGTCTGTACGCCCGCTGTGCCCATTACGAGGGGTTCCCACCATCCCTGTGCTGAGTTCCCGGGTCTGAACGCCCGCTGTGCCCATTATGAGGGGCTCTCACCATCCCTGTGCTGAGTTCCCGGGTCTGTACGCCCTCTGTGCCCATTATGAGGAGTTCCCACCATCAGAGCATCATGACTGCTTATGGCAGAACATCTTATTGTTTTCCGCATCTCCATACTATAGAGGGAGGTGTTTTGTAGACCACAGAGAGAAGTCGTAACAATGTAACTGATCTGAGCAGAGCACAGGCAGAGAGCGCAGGAAGCGATTGGCCACAACATTTCTGGCAGGAAGTATTTTTTGTACTTAATGAACGGATAGAACAAAACGCTTTCAATGGTAAACTTACCAAAGAGGAAATCGCATGGTTACATACAGTATAGTGTATGTCAGGACCACCTAACGCCTGTCCCTGGGGGGGCACATACAGGGGAGGGTTCAATGTTCATAGCGGCCCCTGAGGATGCAGACCCCAGGCACAGAGCGGTGTGCACCATGCTGGCCGAGGTGGATGGGGAGAGCAGTGATGACATCACCATGTGATGCAATGCCGAACGTTTCCTTTCTCTGCGATGAGTCCACTTCCTGCGCTGTACAGAACATGTCCGGTCCTTCCCAGCCCCCAGCTCTACCTGGACTCCAGGGACAGGCTCCGTCTCTGAGGGCCACCATCCCTGAAAAAGCTCCAAAATGTCCCTGGACCTCTAAATTTACACGTTACCTATATGGCCTGCGTTGGTTATGCCGCACGTGTTACACGTTACCTATATGGCCTACGTTGGTTATGCCGCACGTGTTACACGTTACCTATATGGCCTACGTTGGTTGTGCCGCACGTGTTACACGTTACCTATATGGCCTACGTTGGTTGTGCCGCACGTGTTACACGTTACCTATATGGCCTACGTTGGTTATGTTGCACGTGTTACACGTTACCTATATGGCCTACGTTGGTTGTGCCGCACGTGTTACACGTTACCTATATGGCCTACGTTGGTTGTGCCGCACGTGTTACACGTTACCTATATGGCCTACGTTGGTTGTGCCGCACGTGTTACACGTTACCTATATGGCCTACGTTGGTTGTGCCGCACGTGTTACACGTTACCTATATGGCCTACGTTGGTTGTGCCGCACGTGTTACACGTTACCTATATGGCCAACGTTGGTTGTGCCGCACGTGTTACACGTTACCTATATGGCCTACGTTGGTTGTGCCGCACGTGTTACACGTTACCTATATGGCCTACGTTGGTTGTGCCGCACGTGTTACACGTTACCTATATGGCCTACGTTGGTTGTGCCGCACGTGTTACACGTTACCTATATGGCCTACGTTGGTTATGCCGCACGTGTTACACGTTACCTATATGGCCTACGTTGGTTGTGCCGCACGTGTTACACGTTACCTATATGGCCTACGTTGGTTGTGCCGCACGTGTTACACGTTACCTATATGGCCTACGTTGGTTGTGCCGCACGTGTTACACGTTACCTATATGGCCTACGTTGGTTATGCCGCACGTGTTACACGTTACCTATATGGCCTACGTTGGTTGTGCCGCACGTGTTACACGTTACCTATATGGCCTACGTTGGTTGTGCCGCACGTGTTACACGTTACCTATATGGCCTACGTTGGTTGTGCCGCACGTGTTACACGTTACCTATATGGCCTACGTTGGTTGTGCCGCACGTGTTACACGTTACCTATATGGCCTACGTTGGTTGTGCCGCACGTGTTACACGTTACCTATATGGCCTACGTTGGTTGTGCCGCACGTGTTACACGTTACCTATATGGCCTACGTTGGTTATGCCGCACGTGTTACACGTTACCTATATGGCCTACGTTGGTTGTGCCGCACGTGTTACACGTTACCTATATGGCCTACGTTGGTTGTGCCGCACGTGTTACACGTTACCTATATGGCCTACGTTGGTTGTGCCGCACGTGTTACACGTTACCTATATGGCCTACGTTGGTTATGCCGCACGTGTTACACGTTACCTACACGTTTACCTACCTATATGGCCTACGTTGGTTGTGCCGCACGTGTTACACGTTACCTATATGGCCTACGTTGGTTGTGCCGCACGTGTTACACGTTACCTATATGGCCTACGTTGGTTGTGCCGCACGTGTTACACGTTACCTATATGGCCTACGTTGGTTGTGCCGCACGTGTTACACGTTACCTATATGGCCTACGTTGGTTATGCCCGCACGTGTTACACGTTACCTATATGGCCTACGTTGGTTATGCCGCACGTGTTACACGTTACTGCATTAACCAGAGCAATCATTCCAGGTCCAACTAACTCTGTAGGGGATTTTAGAACGTCACCTATGGAAAATTTTGGGTGCTGAAGCTCGTCATCATTTCAAGGCTTGACCTCATCTTTTTTGGAACTACCACCATTTTATTCTCCAGGGTTTCTGCTTTCAGAAAATATTTTATATTTTTGTGGGTTTGCCTAAACCTCAGGCCTGAAATAATTTTTCGAGTCGAGTCCATTTTGCTGAAATGTTCTTGCAGCAACTCAGAATGGTCCTCAGTAGTTTGTGTGGCCCCCACGTGCTTGTATGCATGCCTAAAAATATTGGGGGAGGCTCCTAATGAATGGTGTCCTAGGGGACTTCCTCCCAGATCTGGACCAGAGCATCACTGAGCTCCTGGACAGTCTGAGGTGCAACCTGGCGGCATCGGATGGACCGAAACATGACATCCCAGAGGTATTCTATTGGATTTAGGTCAGGTGAGCGTGGGGGCCATTCAATGGTATCAATTCCTTCATCCTCCAGGAACTGCCTGCATACTCTCCCCACACGAGGCCAGGCATTGTCGTGCACCAGGAGGAACCCAGGACCCACTGCACCAGGAGGAACCCAGGACCCACTGCACCAGGAGGAACCCAGGACCCACTGCACCAGTGTAGGGTCTGACAATGGGTCCAAGGATTTCATCCCGATACCTATTGGCAGTCAGGGTGCCATTGTCTAGCCTGTAGAGGTCTGTGTGTCCCTCCATGGAGATGCCTCCCCACATCATCACTGACCCACTACCAAAACGGTCATGCTGAACCATGTTACAGGCAGCAGAATGTTCTCCACGGCTTCTCCAGACCCTTTCATGTCTGTCACATGTGCTCAGGGTGAACCTGCTCTCATCTGTGAAGAGCTCAGGGTGCCAATTCTGGTGTTCAATGACAAATGCCAATCCAGCTCTATGGTGCCGGGCAGTGAGCACAGAGCCTACTGGAGGACGTTGGGCCCTCAGGCCTCCCTCATGAAGTCTTTTTCTGATTATTTGGTCAGAGACATTCACACCAGTGGCCTGCTGGAGGTCATTTTGTAGGGCTCTGGCAGAGCTCATCCTGTTCCTCCTTGCACAAAGGAGCCGATACCGGTCCTGATGATGGGTTAAGGACCTTCTACGGCCCTGTCCAGCTCTACTAGAGGAACTGCCTGTCTCCTGGAATCTCCTCCATGCTCTTGAGACTGTGCTGGGAGACACATCAAACCTTCTGGCAATGACACGTATTGATGTGCCATCCTGGAGGAGTTGGACTGCCTGTGCAACCTCTGTAGGGTCCAGGTATGGCCTCATGCTACCAGTAGTGACACCGACCCCAGCCAAATGCAAAACGAGTGAAAAACAGTCAGAAAAGATGAGGAGGGAAAAAAATGTCAGAGGCCTCCACCTGTAAAACCATTCCTGTTTTTTGGGGGGTCGTCTCATTTTTGCCCATCCAGTACACTTGTTGTTAATTTCATTAACGCCAAAGCAGCTGAAACTGATGAACAACCCCCCCCTCTGCGACTTACCTGACCAGATCCATATCCCAGGAGTTTCACTGACTTGATGCTAGACTCGGATTACAAAGTCTTCCTTTCATTTTTTTGAGCAGTGTATATATATATATATATATATATATATATATACATACTCTTTTTTTAATGAAAATGTAAAAATACAATCTGCTATACGACGTTATACTTCTAGAATATATAAAGTGACATCATACACTCATTGGGTGAGTTGTAGATGCAATCACTAACTCCTTGTATTGATTTGGCAGCCCATGGTGACCCCCCCCCACTCTCCTTCGTCACATCTTGCTGTAAGGCGATCCTGTATTACATTTGAGCTTACGGGATTCAGTCTGTGTGATGAGATACCTAATACACAGAAAAACTCTTCTGTTGTTTGGCTAAAGGATTATCCAACGTCTGCCGGGGAGCTTGTCTCCCTGGAGTCTGCCTGGATCAACTTAAGTGTATCTAAAGCCAAGAACAGAAATGTAATCTATCGCAGCTTACCAGTCCTCAGATATGTTGGCTGCATTAGTTTTCATTTTCCAGGATTTTGATTTTACTTTTAATTTTAAATTCATGTACTAGGGTGACAACGCTCATTGTGCTGTATCTAGGTAAACAAAGTGTTGTCACCCCAGGACAGGACTATACACCACATCCACCTTTCCTGTACCATCACATATTAAAATTATTATCTAATAATAATAACGATCAAATATATTAATATAAAATATAGTGGCAATGTAATAATCTAAAAATAATAATAATAATTGCATCTGTACTGTGCAGCGATTTGTCCAGTATCCATCTTAGTCACAGCCAGAATCCAAGCCCTGATGAAGGGGGAACTCTGGCCTGAAACGCGTTGCTATTTTCACTGACTTCTTGACATGTGCAGTAAAGACTTACTGGACTTGAATCACACGGTGCTGTCCCTTGTTTATATGCCAAAGGCCACTCCAAGGAACCCCCAGAGTTACCCTGGTTGAGCCACCTATGCAATTGTGGTTACCTGCCCCCTATTTTCCTTACCTGGGGTCCAGCACTCTACCAATACTCCAAGCCATAACATAGAAGGGATGGTGTTCTGTACTCCTCAGAGAAAGCCGGGAACATTGTAACAGTCAATAGAGCCAGAGAGAGCACAGGAAGTTATCAGCTCACATGATTTCTGGCAGGATCAGCAGATATTTTGCATTTATCAAACAGATATATCTAAACACATTCAATGGTTAAAGTAATAGGCCAAAAGGGAGCCAATAAGAGATCATTGTATCCACTTCCAGGCTGCCCTTTAACCGAGGGATGCGGCGTGGCTTCTGTATCTTGTGACCGCTGTGATTGGCTCTCACAGTGGTCACATGATCGGGAGCATGTCCCACTAGCTCAGTCAGTGACAGCTCAGTCAGTGTGTCAGGAGCACACCAACCTCATTCCACCATAGCTGTGTATGTGTTTTGGGTGGCCATTAAAACCCAACATTCTGGCTGCTGCAAAAATGCATTGCATGGTAGGCAAGAGGTTAAACTTCACTCTCCCGAAGAGCTCTGTTGCTGGTACTATGCACAGCTTCTGGGTAAGCCATTGCAGGCCACTGGTGTTTGTTCATATAACCCCCCTTGTTCTGTCTCCCCAATCTAAGCATTGAAAGTGTGATCTCTGTAACTTCCAGTTGTGATGAGTTAGCGATAACTCCAATCTTAGTTGAATATCACAGACAGTGACTCAATCCAGACGACACCTTGTAGATCTTGTGAAGTTTATTCCATAAACTGAGAGAATCTTACAACAATGAACATTCGATAGGTCAAAAGATCATAATGTGATCTGCTTCATGACATGAGGCTAGAAGCTGAATTGTCTTACTGAGAAAAGGGGTGGGGCTAGCTATACAGTATGAACTAAACCAAAGGAAAGGTTGGAGCCGAGACAAAATACAAAGAACACTTAAATGCATATGACAGTCATGTGAAGCATGACACCCCTTACATACTAACATGTCATTTTTGTGATTCTAGGGTACGGACACACAGTTCCATTGTCGGATGGAGGAAAGACGTTCTGCATCTTCTACTCCGTCATCGGAATCCCCTTCACTCTGCTCCTGTTCACAGCTGTGGTCCAGCGGATCATCGTCCACATATCGCAGAGGCCGGTCCTCTACATCCACCTGCGCTGGGGCTATCCCAAAAACATCGTGGCCATAGTTCAAGCCGTTCTCCTGGGGATCCTCACCGTCTCCTGCTTCTTCTTCATTCCGGCCGCCGTATTCTCTGACCTGGAAGAGGACTGGAACTTTTTGGAGTCCTTCTACTTCTGCTTCATCTCGCTCAGTACCATCGGCCTGGGCGATTATGTCCCCGGTGAGGGCTACAACCAGAGATTCCGACAGCTCTACAAGTTTGGCATCACTTGTAAGTATTGGTGGCCAAATCACTATCCGAAAAAGCCACATAAACACTATTATAGGAGTTTTTGGGTGCCTCTTCCTTAGAGTGGTTCTCCAGGACATTGATGGTCAACAAACATTTACTGGTAAAAAGAACTTCGGCTTTTCCTATTTAAAGGGTATGTCCAGCCAAATCTTTCAAATGGAGCTCTGGATAGCAGTAAATTTTGACAGAGGTTCTAATTTTTCCCCACTCCACGTTCTGCGTGGCTGATTAAGGTTGAAGTGCAGCTAATTGGAGCTTACGCAGGGCTAAGGATATTCCCTCTTCCCCCATGTTATAGGGGTTGGGCCCATCATTGGCCCCAGCGCTGCGTTGGGGAGATAGTCGCATGTACTGTGAAATTCCCTTCACTCTGATGGGCAAGGAAGGTGAATATAACCAATAGGGAGGCAAGCTAGTACATGAATTTGTGCTGTGACCTGCATGGTCCAAGTTCGAGTTCACTGTAAGGTACCCATAAACTTGAGAGGACGGTCAGCAGAACCATCCACATTGGGTGACAAGCTCCATGCAGGACCGAGCTGAGGGGTTGGCTGAAGAGGTGACCACCTTGGACATTTCAGCAGGAGGGAGCACAAAAATGGCACAGCTTGCCACCTTTCCTGCTGAAGCAGGACACAGACCATGGGTGGAGTCACTTCAGCATGGACGCTGGAGGATCTTGTCTTGTCACTGGCTCCGTGGGATCACATAGATACTATTCACAAGGAAATTATCGTTGGACAGCAATGAATAAGTTGCTCATCCTTTCCCCTGTGTTAAGTCGTCAGTGTTCGTCATCACCCATGTTGATGTCCCTAGCAGACAAGGACGTTTCCAGAGGGTGGTCATTTTGTGCCTGGACATCCAAGGGACTTTGACTGGCCCCTATATCCAGGACTCTTGTTGGACCTTTACTGTCCCCTATGTCCAAGACTCTACTTGGATCTTTACTGGCCCCTATGTCCAGGATTCTACTTAGAGCTTTGTTGACACCTATGTCCAGTACTCTTACTTGTACCTATATTGGCCCATATGTCCTGGACACTAGTCTGAGCTTTACTGGTCCCTATGTCCAGGTCTTCAGTTGGGCCTTTATGGGCTCCTATGTCCAGGACACTAGTTGGAATTTTACTAGTCCCTGTGTTTAAGACTCTAGTTGGACCTTTATGGGCCCCTATGTCCAAGACTGTAGTTGGACCTTTACTGGCTCCTATGTCCAGGATTCTAGCTGGAACTGTACTGGGCCCCTATGTCCCGCATTCTAGTTGACCTTTACTTGCCCCTATGCCACGGACTCTAGTCGGACCTTTACTGGCCCCTATGCCAAGGACACTAGTCTGACCTTTACTGGCCCTATGTGCAGAACTCTAGTCAGACCTTTTCTGGCCCCTGTGTCCAGGACTGTGTCTATGTCCCTCACTCTAGTCAATCTTTACTGGGCCCCTATGTCCCACATTCTAGTCAACCTTTACTGGCCCCTATGCCAAAGACTCTAGTTGGACCTTTACTGGCCCCTATGCCAAGAACTCTAGTCAGACATTTTCTGGCCCCTATGTCCAGAGACTCTAGTAGGACCTTTACTGGCCCCTATGTCCAAGACTGTAGTTGGACCTTTACTGGCCTCTATGTCCAGGACTCTAGTCAGACCTTTACTGGCCCCTATGTCCATTACTTCAGTTAGGTCTTTATGAACCCCTATGTTCGGGTGCTAGGTGGACCTATGCTCACCTCTATGTCTAGGACTCTACTCAGTCCTTTACTGGCCCCTATGTCCATGATTCTATTTCGACCTTTACTGACCCCTATGTCTAGTACTCTAGTCAACTTTTACTGGCCCCTATGCCCAGAACTCTAGTTGGACCTTTGCTGGCCCCTATGTCCAGGATTCTTGTTGGACCTTTACTGGCCCCTATGTCCTGGTCTCCAGTTAGGCCCTTATAGGGCCCTATGTCCAGGACACTAGTTGGACCTTTACTGGCCCCTATGTTCAAGACTCTAGTCAGACTTTTACTGGCCCAATGTCCAGGACTCTTGTTGGACCTTTTCTGGCCCCTATGTCCAGGACTCTAGTTGGACCTTTACTGGCCTCTATGTCCAGAACTCTAGCTGGACCTTTACTAGTCCTTATGTCCAGGACTCCAGTGGGACCTTTACTGGCTTCGAACGTCACTATAATTTCAGCGAATTTCCAGATGATTTCTTCCGCTGCTTTGTATCCAGTATAAAGTGTTGTCATTTCTTCCCCTGTTGACACAACACTTGACTTCAATATTTACACACAGACACCAGTTAGCTGCTGTTTGCAGAACACTTCACAGCTGACATCTGATGTCCCATCTCTTACCTGGCAGGCCGGTGTGGGCGGTTTATCTAAATGTTATCTGTTTACATTTTGTTTTTAGCAAAATATGTCCCAAAGTGACCATATCTGCAGAGAAAAGCAAGGATTTTATATGAATTTTTGCAGTGTTTTCCTTCCGATTAATAGTTTTGTTTTCACTTGCAATGTGCCTCTTGATAGAAAATTGTACTGCTGCAGGAAGCCTATTCCCTACCACAGCCCACTCACTCCTTGTACATCACAGTCCTCTCTTCTTCTGGGAAGATCTCATTGGCTGTACTTGCCCAGCTCCACCACCCCTCCTCTTCTGTGAGTGAGTGATTATCAGGGGTGGACTGACCATTTGGAAACTCGGGCACTGCCCGGGGTCAGTAGGGGGCCCCATAAGATGCCCCTGGTACCTTTTTCATAGGCTTTTTTGAGCTTGGGCAAGGACACAGGGTCCCCATGATTCCCTATTGCCCGGGGGCCCTATGAGTTGTCAGTCCACCCCTAGTAATTATTATCTATGCTGGCCCAAATCCTCCTCCCCTCCCTACATAGGAGTGGAGGGGAATACGGTAGAACAGTGGTCTCCAAACTGGGGCTCTTTGTTTGCCTTTTGCCGGCCCTTGGGTAGTAGTTCTCCTACTGACATTAATGATGGGCACCCCCCCTTAACCCACAGACACCAATAGTGGGGTACTAGTCTTCTCACTGACACCAACGATGGAGCACTATTCCTCCCACTGACACCAATGATGGAACACTATTCCTCCCACTGACACCAACGATGGGGCACTATTCCTCCCACTGACACCAACTATGGAGCACTCTTCCACTGTCGCCAACAATGGGGCACTATTTCTCCCACTGACACCAACGATGGGGCACTATTCCTCCCACTGATACCAACTATGGGGCACTCTTCCTCCCACTGACACCAACTATGGGGCACTCTTCCTCCCACTGACACCAACTATGAGGCACTCTTCCACTGTCGCCAACAATGGGGCACCATTTCTCCCATTGACACCAATGATGGGGCACTATTCCTCCCTCTGACACCAACATTGGAGCACTGTTCCTCCCATTGACACCAACGATGGAGCACTGATCCTCTCACTGACACCAATGATGGGGCACTATTCCTTCCACTGACACCAATGATGGAACACTATTCCTCCCGCTGATGCCAACAATGGGGCACCATTCCTCCCACTGACACCAACTATGGGGCACTCTTCCACTGTTGCCAACAATGGGGCACTATTTCTCCCACTGACACCAATGATGGGGCACTATTCCTCCCTCTGACACCAACGATGGGGCACTAATCCTCTCACTGACACCAATGATGGGGCACTAATCCTCTCACTGACACCAATGATGGGGCACTATTCCTTCCACTGACACCAACGATGGGGCACTGTTCCTACCACTGACACCATCGATGGGGCACTATTCCTCCCACTAAAGATTTGGTATTGTTTACTCCCACTGACACCATTACATTTTCTACTCCGACTGGCCCAAGTCCAGCCCCCCTAAAGTCTAAAGGACAGTAAACTGGAGACCCCTGCTATAGATGATTACTTGAGTCACAGTTCTCAGTCTACTGTGGTTGTTGACATTGCATCCAAGATGGTGGCACCCAACAGCTGTCTCAAGGCCTTTGGATGTCTACATAAAGGAGGATTTTATAGTTAACATGTCTAAAATCCATCAAATGCCCACATTATCTTATGGGAAGATTGTTAACAACTTTATCACTGTGTACAACTTTCAATGATCTATGTACATAGAGGTAGACATATTTGCTTCCTTTGTGCCTTGCTGATCCTCTTATCTCACTGAAAAGCTAAACAGTTGTTGCTAGTGCCCCCATTGTGAAATTCTACTCACTTCCTGTCACTGTGACCACATAGCAAGTAAGCAAAAAATCTCCATGGTGGGGATAGAGACAGCAATACATGCCTGAAAGAGGTTGTCACCATCCCCAACCCTATCCAACACAAAAACATTTATTGGCCAGAGTAGGGCCTTCATTTCCTAACCACGTCACGTCATTCTTTATTTCTTTCTACAGGCTACTTGATGTTGGGCTTGTTGGCCATGCTGGTGACCCTGGAAACATTTTGTGAACTTCAGGAACTGAAAACATTCCGTAAGCTGTTCTACGTGAAGAGAATGAAGGATGGAGATCAGGAGAACATCATGGAGCATGACCAGCTGGCCTTCTCCTCCATCTCAGACCAAGTGGCATCACTGAAAGACGAGCGGAAACTAAGCGAGCCATTTGTAGCCCTCCAACCTGTCGTCAATTACAACGGTGATGGCTCTTTAAACAATGAGCACTAGAGCAAGAGATATCCAAAACATCCATTTCAGACATTGGCAAGAGATATTCAATACCTCTATATCAGTCATTGGCAAGAGATTTTCAATACCTCTATATCAGACATCGGCAAGAGATATCCAATACTTCCATATCCGACATCGGCAAGAGATATCCAAAACCTCAATAGCAGACATCAGCAAGAGATATCCAAAACCTTCATTTCAGACATCGGCAAGAGATATCCAAAACATCCATTTCAGACATTGGCAAGAGATATTCAATACCTCTATATCAGTCATTGGCAAGAGATTTTCAATACCTCTATATCAGACATCGGCAAGAGATATCCAATACTTCCATATCCGACATCGGCAAGAGATATCCAAAACCTCAATAGCAGACATCAGCAAGAGATATCCAAAACCTTCATTTCAGACATCGGCAAGAGATATCCAATACCTCCATATCAGACATCGGCAAGAGATATCCAATACTTCCATATCAGACATGGACAAGAGATGTCCAATACTTCCATATCAGACATGGACAAGAGATATCCAATACTTCCATAGCAGACATTGGCAAGGGATATCCAATACCTCCATATCAGACATCGGCAAGAGATATCCAATACTTCCATATCCGACATCGGCAAGAGATATCCAATACTTCCATATCCGACATCGGCAAGAGATATCCAATACTTCCATATCCCACATCGACAAGAGATATCCAATACCTCCATATCGTACATCGGCAAGAGATACAGTTGTGTCCAAAATTATTCAACCCCCACTGAAATTGAGTGTTTTGGCCAGTTTGACATTGCTTTTGATCATTCAGTCATCTTGCTTACATTTACATTAAAGAGGCACTTGTAGGTCAGACAAATATAACATCAGTTATAATGAAATAACCACAAATGTCTTTTCTGTGCTCACAGCATTATCAGTTTTATTCAACCCCCAAGTGACATTCAATCTTAGTACTTAGTACAGCATCCTTTTACAGTTATAACAGCTTTTAAACGTGAAGCATAGCTTGACACAAGTGTCTTGCAGCGATCTACGGGTATCTTCGCCCATTCTTCATGGGCAAAGGCCTCCAGTTCAGTCACATTCTTAGGCTTGCGCACTGCAACTGCTTTCTTTAAGTCCCACCAGAGGTTCTCAATCGGATTTAAGTCTGGTGACTGCGATGGCCACTCCAAAATGTTCCAGCCTTTCCTCTGCAACCATGCTCTAGTGGACTTGGAGGTATGCTTGGGATCATTGTCCTGTTGAAAGGTCCAACGTCTCCCAAGCCTCAGGTGTGTGACGGACTGCATCACGTTTCCATCCAATATCTCCTGGTACTGAAGAGAATTCATGGTACCTTGCACACGCTGAAGCTTCCCTGTACCTGCAGAAGCAAAACAGCCCCAAAGCATGATTGACCCTCCACCATGCTTCACAGTAGGCAAGGTGTTCTTTTCATCATAGGCCTTGTTCTTCCTCCTCCAAACATAGCGTTGATCCATGGGCCCAAACAGTTCTAATTTTGTTTCATCAGTCCACAGAACACTATCCCACAACTTTTGTGGTTTGTCCACATGGCTTTTGGCATACTGCAGTCGACTCTTCTTATTCTTTGGAGACAGCAAGGGGGTACGCCTGGGAGTTCTGGCACGGAGGCCTTCATTACGCAGTGTGCGTCTTATTGTCTGGGCTGAAACTTCTGTACCCACATCTGACAAATCTTTTCTCAGTTCCTCAGCAGTCACACGGGGACTTCTCTCCACTCTACGCTTCAGGTAGCGCACAGCAGTCGAAGTCAGCATCTTCTTTCTGCCACGACCAGGTAGCGTTTCAACAGTGCCCTTTGCCTTGAATTTGCGAATGATGCTTCCTAAGGTGTCTCTTGGTATGTTTAACATCTTTGCAATCTTCTTATAGCCATTGCCCTTCCTGTGAAGAGAAATCACCTCTTCTCTTGTCTTCCTGGACCATTCTCTTGCCTTCACCATGTTTGTAACCACACCAGTAAATGTCTAGAAGGAGCTGAGTATCACAGTCATTTTAAAGCTGCCTAATTGGTGCTTATTATGCTTGATTGCTGCTCGGTGACATCCACAGGTGTTTTCAATACCTGATGGAAAGCACCTGTATGAACCTCTGTTCTTCAGAGTGGTAGTCTTTAAGGGGTTGAATAATTGTGGCAATGAAGAAACCACATAAGAACCATTTACTACTGTATTACATAAACAATTGATGTCATTTTAGTTGCATTTGGGTAGTTACAACGTCCTTGTAGGATTTGATTCTGAATACAATTCCAAATGTACACTATAGTCCCTAAACCCCTTTACAGCATTGGGGGTTGAATAATTTTGGACACAACTGTATCCAGAATCCCCATATCAGACATTGGCAAGAGATATCCAATACTTCCATATCAGTCATCGGCAAGAGATATCAAATACTTCCATATCAGACATGGGCAAGAGATATCCAATACTTCCATATCAGACATGGGCAAGAGATATCCAATACTTCCATATCAGACATCAGCAAGAGATATCCAATACTTCCATATCAGACATCAGCAAGAGATATCCAATACTTCCATATCAGACATCAGCAAGAGATATCCAATACCTCCATATCGTACATCGGCAAGAGATATCCAGAATCCCCATATCAGACATTGGCAAGAGATATCCAATACTTCCATATCAGTCATCGGCAAGAGATATCTAATACCTCCATATCAGACATAGGCAAGAGATATCCAATACTTCCATATCCGACATCAGCAAGAGATATCCAATACTTCCATATCCGACATCAGCAAGAGATATCCAATACTTCCATATCAGACATCGGCAAGAGATATCCAATACTTCCATATCAGATATCGGCAAGAGATATCCAAAACTTCCATAGCAGCCTACGGCAAAAGATATCCAAAACTTCCATATCAGACATCAGCAAGAGATATCCAATACTTCCATATCAGACATCAGCAAGAGATATCCAATACTTCCATATCAGACATCAGCAAGAGATATCCAATACTTCCATATCAGACGTCGGCAAGAGATATCCAATACTTCCATATCAGACATCGGCAAGAGATATCCAATACTTCCATATCAGACGTCGGCAAGAGATATCCAATACTTCCGTATCAAACATCGGCAAGAGATGTCCAATACTTCCATATCAGACATCAGCAAGAGATATCCAATACTTCCATATCAGACATCAGCAAGAGATATCCAATACTTCCATATCAGACATCAGCAAGAGACATCCAATACTTCCGTATCAATCATCAGCAAGAGATATCCAATACCTCCACATTAGACATCGGTGAAATCATCGCACAAGTCCACCTGCTTTTCCGAGAGGGAAAAAAAGGGTTCCTCAATACATTCTCCATCTATAGGTGGAGCCTGGTTTGAGCAGTCACATTTCTTATATGAGCTTGTAAACCTCAGGGGTGGGATCACTGACTCGTCCCGCCTACCTTAGAGATTTGTATGAACCTAACCATTTCCATTCCTCTTATTGCAAGCTCTGTAATATAAAATGATCTAAATACCGGATGGGGTGTGTTAAACCTCCTCAGATGCACATACCTCATTTTTCCAAAAATAGCAAAATCTGTTTTGGCATGAACTGACCCTTTAAAGTTTTTTTTTTGTTTATTTATTTAAATATTTCCAGGATCTTTCAGGTCCTTTCCGAGCTGATCAGCTCATTAAAACTGTCAAGAATCTTGAGTACAACCTCAATGTGTGGGCACCTTAGACGTTGTTTAAATGCAATATTTAAAACTTAACTCCGGGCAATCACCTAAATATATGGGAGTCGTTTTGCCTGTCAAAGGTTCTGTATTTTTGTCCATCTCTTCCTGAGATTTACACAGCTCTGCTGCACAGTATAGGACAGGAGACCTGATTTTTTCCTCTGCTGCACTTAAGTAAAGCAGCTAGGTCTTGTACCTCCTCAGGCCCATGATTGGACAGTGAAAGGAGAAGCAGCAGACTGGTAAGCTTATCTTTCTGTCACTCTGCTTTCTCCTCCTATCAGTGTTTTTTTTTTTGTTGGTTGGCACATACACACGGCAAACCAGTTAATTGGTTCCAAATCTTGCCCCTCCCTCTTCCAGTCTGAGCTCTGCTATATATATGGATTGCAAAAGGCTGAAAGCAAATCAGATATGAATACGTACCTGCATTAATTTGTGTTTCTTTTTATCTTCCCAGTGTTCAGCTTTAAATATGTAATATTTTAGATCCTGTAGATTTATTAGACAGACAAACTGGGCATTTTGGCAGATCTATTCTGTACGTCGCGCAGGCCAGGAGTTCCATTGGCACATGGCCTTTGGCATCCACCACTCTTGTAGGGTCACCTCTTTTACACATGGGCTTTGGCATCCACTACTCTAGTAGAGTCACCTCGTTTACACATGGCCTTTGGCATCCACCACTCTAGTAGGGTCACCTCGTTTACACTTGGCCCTTGGCATCCACCACTCTTGTAGGGTCACCTCTTTTACACATGGCCCTTGGCATCCACCACTCTTGTAGGGTCACCTCTTTTACACATGGGCTTTGGCATCCACTACTCTAGTAGAGTCACCTCGTTTACACATGGCCTTTGGCATCCACCACTCTAGTAGGGTCACCTCTTTTACACTTGGCCCTTGGCATCCACCACTCTTGTAGGGTCACCTCTTTTACACATGGCCCTTGGCATCCACCACTCTTGTAGGGTCACCTCTTTTACACATGGGTTTGGCATCCACCACTCTTGTAGGGTCACCTCTTTTACACATGGCCTTTGGCATCCACCACTCTTGTAGGGTCACCTCTTTTACACATGGCCTTTGGCATCCACCTCTCTTGTAGGGTCACCTTTTCTTACACATGACCTTTGGCATCCACCACTCTTGTAGAGTCACCTCTTTTACACAGAACGTTTGTTGTTTGCTTAGTATATTGTGCAAATAGGCTTACATGGGATGGTTG